GCCCCCCAGCAACCCTCAGTTTGTTTTGTGAGATTAAGAGTCACTTATGGTTTGTCTCCCTCCCAATCCCATCTTGTTTCATTTATTCTTTTCCTACCCCCAAACCCCCTACGTTGCATCTCCACTTCCTCATATCAGGGAGATCATATGATAGTTGTCTTTCTCCATTGACTTATTTCGCTAAGCATAATACCCTCTAGTTCCATCCACGTCATCGCAAATGGCAAGATTTCGTTTCTTTTGATCACATGACCCATTTTTTTAAAACATGAGCTATATACCTAGCACATGGATGGCAGCTTCTCACTAACGTGGATGGGAAAGAGTAGATAAAACAATCATTTTATTAAAAATTTCTATTATTAACATATTTTCTACTGAGAAAAGATACGGGCAAAAGATCGGAGTAGACATTTTTCTAAAGAAGACATACAGAGATGGCCATCAGGGACATGAAAAGAAGCTCAGCATCACCAGTCACGAGGGAAATGCAAATCAAAACCACCAGGTAATATCACCTCATGCTTGTCCGAATGGCTAGTATCAAAAAGACAAGAAACAACAAGTGCTGGTGTGGATATGGAAAAAAGGGAACCCTGGGGCACTGTTGGTGGGATTGTAACTTTCCACTATGAAAACAGATGGAGGGTCCTCAAAAGATTAAAAATAGAACTACCATATGATCCAAAAATTGCAGTACTGGGTATTTATTTGAAGAAAACAAAAACACTGCCTACCCTTCTTAATACAGAAATTTAGACTTTAGGAAGTTTTTTATATGCTGTCTATGGCACTAAGCTAAAGTGTTGCTGTAACTGAAATATCCTGTTATGTCGCATAAATCAATATTTCCCTTTGAGGAACTTCTGTGAAATTCGTTATTATGTAAAACAACCCTTACAGCAAAGGACTTTGATAACCAATTTGCACTTCAGTTTAAAGGATTATGGAGAACTCATTTAAATATAAATCACCTCAAAGAGAAAAATGTGATCCTTATTCTATCATATTATACCTTCCAGTTTCCTGCAATGAGTAATACCTTTCACATATCTTCTTGGAAGATCATCTATAAATGTAACACCAAAATTCAAAGCTTGCGTTTTCTTTTCATGAAAGGCTGTCACCTTATTTTTGTATGTGTTTAAACTTTCCCAGTCATGAGAGAGTTATTTTTAAAGTGATAGGCTTAGTCTTTTGATATTTATGTCTTTCTTACTTTAGGAAGAAAATGGAATTATTTAATTTGTAATTTCATCCACTTAGTAATTGTCTCCTGAACAGCCTTCGTATTTATGGAGATAAAATGATTACTTTCTATATTTTCTTTATGAAAAGAAATCAGGGTTGTAAGGAAAGAGTCAAGACTAGATTATAGAAAGTGGAGAGAAATAAAATAAAATTTTTTAAAATACTCAATATCTCCTTACTAAATTTAAGAGAGAAGTCATTTTAATGCTTATTTGGTTGCTAATCTAATTATTTTGTAGCTAACTAAGGTCTCTATTTCATTATTACTCTTTTATACATCTCTCATTCCCAATCTCAGTTTTTGATAATGGAAGTTTCTAGCATAGAGCACTGGCAGGAAGGAGATGGAGGATCACAAACCAAAGACTGAAAACCACACAACAATGGAGATTGTCCAGTATTCAAGCTTCATACTATCTTTTTTTTCTTTTTTGTTTGTAGTGAATTTCTAAGCTGTGAGGAATAATTGTAATGAAGTATAATTACTTGACTTGGGATTCTCTATACTTTCAACTGCTTCTAATGGGTATTTGTATGGTGTCCTGTCTCCCTCTTTGAGATTGTAAACTTCCTGAGCATAAGGTCATGTGTTCTCTTCCTTCTCTAACTCCCCAACAACATGTACTATGTACCAGGCACCACCTGGCAAGTCATCTCAACCCCTCAAATGTAAACTAGAGGAATGGATTATGACCTCAAACATACGATCCTAACTTTTGAGTTACAGTTAGCATAATTCTACAATGGATAGTTATTTTTTTCCTTGCATAATTCAATAGACACAACTTTGGGATATAGGGACTATGTAGATTATTGAAAACAACAAATAACACATCAGTGTAGCCTACAGTTGTGCCTCACTGTTGGATGATTCTTTTAAAAGAGCCACATATAAATGGCCATGTAGGAATGGCACAATTTACATGTGGTTTACACAGGAATGTTAAATGACAAAAAAGGGTAAAAGAGGCAAGAAGGAAAACTAGAAACTGGGTATCAAACAATAGGCACAATTAATCCACAGGCAACTACATTTTTTTGAAAAAATCAAACTTCGGGGCACCTGGATGGCTCAATGGGTTAAGCCTCTGCCTTCGGCTCAGGTCATGATCCCAGGGTTCTGGGATCGAGCCCCGCATCGGGCTCTCTGCTCAGCGGGGAGCCTGCTTCCTCCTCTCTCTCTGCCCGCCTCTCTGCCTACTTGTGACCTCTGTCTGTCAAATAAATTAATAAAAATCTTTAAAAAAAATCAAACTTCAAGCATAAAGTCTCTGATGTGAAAAGGCAAGCAGACATTATGTAATTCAATTTTATTCTCAGTGGTGTCCCTGATACACTGCAAGCCTGTCCTGCTTGGAAATTCCAATGATAATAGCCAATGTCTGACCTCAGCATTAGAGAGGTCACAAACCAGGTCCCATAAGATAAATTCATCCCCAAGATGTTTGGTAAAAGATACAGAATTTTACAAAATAACGTCCAAGATGGGGCACCTGGGTGGCTCAGTCATTAAGTGTCTGCCTTCAGCTCAGGTCGTGATCCCAGGGTCCTGGGATGGAGCTCCACATTGGGCTTCCTGCTCCGTGGGAAGCCTGCTTCTCCCTCTCCCACTCCCCCTGCTTGTGTTCCCTCTCTCTCGCTGGGTCTCTCTCTGTCAAATAAATAAATAAAATCTTTAAAAAAGGGGCAGTGGGGGGCACCTGGGTGGCTCAGTAGGTTGAGCATTTGCCTTTGGCTCAGGTCATGATCCCAGGATCCTAGGGTCAAGCCCCACATC